TTCTCAATGATGCTTCATGTTTCTTGACTTTCTCTGAAGCTCAAGGTATAATTCATGAGTAAAACAGATGAGTTTAGTTGCAAGATTATAAATCAATGTATTCACCAAAATCAAAAGTATCCAGTGTATGTACCCAAGCATTCATTTGATGTAGCATCTTGTTGGTTGTACTATTGTGTATTATTTATTAGAAGTTACCAACATTTTGGAAAAACCTACTGCCTCAATTTCTTGATGGAAGTACAAAGAGCTTGATAATAAATGTAGCACACATGAGAAACCAGACATGCATACAAAATCTTTGTTTGAAACAGATCACGTACACAAACCATTGGAAGACTAAGGTATAAATGGGAGGATAATTTTAAAACAGATCTTGGAATAAGAGATGAAGAAAATGTGAACTGTACTGAACTAGCTCAGGAAGGATTCAGACCTTTACTTCTGTGATGATTGTAATGATCATTCAGGTTCCATAACAGTGGATTTTTGAATCATCCAAATAACCAAGTGTTACATACAGTTACTTAATTTAGAGATATTTCCTAGCATTTAAAATGTGTCTTATACAATTTGAGAATGGAAACGTGTGGTTGATAAGAGTACACTACTTTTCAAATGTGCTCTTAGTTATTTTGCAAACACCAATGGCTTTGATGTTCATTTATGGCAACTACACATCTCTGGTCAAGCTAATCACAATACAGATCCAGAACAGAAAGAACAAATGCAGGAAAAAGATGTGATATTGTCTGCTGGAATCCCCACTAAACCTACAGCTGTTTCCAGATGTCCCTTTTCTCAGGAGTATACCATTAATATACATCACTGTATGAAACAGTGCTGCAGTTATTCCCATCCTTTCCCCACAGAACATAGATCATGTTTAAATGTTGGGCCTTTGGAAGAAACCCTGCTCTCTCAAAAGACAAATAATGCTGAATTAAGCAGCTTCATAAGCAGGTATACTGTCAAGCAAATTTTAAAGTTATTGTTAACAAAAGTGAGAATATATCAGTCACATTTCTGGTGCCTGACTTATTTACAGTTACATAACATACATTCCACAGATCATCATGGATGATAAATGTAGATGAATATCCTCAAAGTTTTGCATTCTTTAATTTCCAGCAATCAATGTGCTATGGTAACTGTTAATGAGTGGTTAAAATGGCAAACTTTCTGTGTAACATTCTGCTTACAACAACAGGTTAACTACATAATAAAACTATACAAAAATTGATACATAGCATGACAGTTGTAATTCAACTCTCCACAAAACCAATATTGAAACACCAGTTCATCAACACAAACACAGTTTGTTCTAATCCATTCAGAAAGCACGGCTGATTACCTAGTAACCTCAGCCACTTGATGTTTTTATCTGTAATATAATTAACCAGGTTAGTAAATGTTATATATCTGCATGTTCTATTGAATGTAATATTTTAGTATGTGCACATATCTGTATATTGGGTGATCATGAAATCCCACTTCAACTGATAAACAGAACTTGTGATGTAATGTGGTTCTATGCAAAGGCAAGAAGTCAAAGAGGATTAAATCAGAATAACTTGAAGTAAAATCATGTTGAGGTAATCTTACACAATGGCAGGAAAATGGGAGCATCCCATCTTGTTGGAAAATCATGGCGTCCAATAAAACATTTCCCCTTGGCTGCAGCTCAAAGAAACTGGAAATAACATCACTGGAAATTATATTTAGTGTTGAAGGTGTTTGTAGAACTTCATCAGAAAGGAAGAAAGGGAAAAAGAAAGTTTGAGGTCAGTTTGTTTTTGGAGATGCAAAGTGAATATTATGTATTTATACAGAAATAAGTTGAGACTTCATAAACACCCTGCTTAACTCTACTTAAAATGAACTCAGTTGCCTGTGCTTTACACAAATAACCAAGTTACAAACACTGACATTTGAAAAATAGCAGGAAATAAATGGGAATAAAAAAATTGTATGTAACAACCACAGACACAGTTGGGTAAAGATACAACAGGTCCTGCTTTACAACATCTTGGCAAGAGTCTCAATTTAACTTTATGGTTTTAGTGAACTCACGTTTGGTAAAAGTATAGAGACATTTTTGAAAATGGCTATGCCTGCCACAAGTCACTAACAGTCACCTGCAATCCTTATGTCATGGCATGAAACAAGTCTATTACTCTAAAGGACCAGCAAATTATTTTTTACCAGCTTCCCTAGTTACAACTGCTGCTGCAACTGTCAACTAATCTGCGGAATGGGAATGTGTTCTCACACACAGGTTTTTATCCCTGTTTGAAGTTTGTGCTGGAACAGTGATAATAGTTTTCATAAGAATTTCCTTGTTATTAGCAAATAACTGTGTATAAACCACACGTTTAGAAGAAAAGGCAACTTGCTAATCTGTTGATAGTGTTGATGTAATTAATATTACATTTCACTGCATATTCTTCTATACTCATCTTTAAAGAATTCTGGTATGTGGATTAGCCCAGGAGCTGTGATGTTTTTTGTGAAAGTTGTTTTTCAGAGTGTTCAGGAGAGACAGGTAGGAATGACATCAAACATGCCAATTCTCAAAATATCAATGTTCCTATGAAAATTAGAAACAGCAAGAAAAGAATTAACAGCGTAATACTGTTGGTGAAATAAGTTTGTCTCCTCATTGTTGGACACTACATGAGGTATACATAAGCAGTAAACTGTTCTGACTAAGTGTAGGATTGATAAGATCAGCTGGGGCAATGAGATGGGGGAGATGGTTAAGATCATATAAATCCAATGCTACATGAAGGTATCCAATTTACAGTTTACTGGACATGTTTTCAACTGACTGAAGAGACTTAAAGGAGGATTGCAAATATATGTAGTTACCTTTTCCATTTAACTATTAAACAGATAAATGGAAACATCTGTGGGATCTTTAGAACTTGCTTAACTGTTCAGTTTACTGCAACAGAAGAATAAACATATGGCATGTATGGAATGAGAAAGGGCTACACTTCAATATTCCCCCAGCAAACAACAGTCAGATCATCTCATGTAACATATTATACTTACAGCAGCAAGACATATACGCAATGGCAATCTGTTTCACTTTCAATTTACTACGCTATACAAAGAATTATATATATCTGAAAAGACTGTAACTAACAGCAAGTTTTCATTGTATGTTGTCTGTTTACAAAAATCTTTCAGTAATGCCTTAAACATTCACCTTATAAAAGGATAGAGTAATAATTTAAATAGACGGTATAATTTTCTGCCAAGACTTCTGAAAACAGATTTAATAAACAAAACATCTCCCCTCATTGTGAGATCTGAGGTTCTCACAACAGTGAAGATGATGATGCTCTTCTGGGTTGTGACACCATAGAGACTCGTAGGTACATACAAACAATTCTCACAGAGGTTCTGGATTGTGACACTGTGTAGACATGTGAGCAGATGCCAACATTTTGGAGAAACCTGTGAATCTACAGTGTCAACCTAGAATATCATTATCATCTCTCTCTTTTATTCCTTCTACTTCTTTCATACACTTCTGACTTGGTGTATGTCACATTTACCAACTCATGTATAATAATAACCCCCCAATACTTGTTCTTACTTTCAGTCTCTAAAACCCTCCATCCATCAAATGTCACTACAGCCCAAGTTTGGGCCTTGGCCTCCTCCAATGTGGGAGGTTTCCTAGTCTTGGAAGTGTGCATCTGTCAGTAGTGGGTGACCAGCCCACTGCCTCTGCACAATTTCTACTGAATTCTGATTTGTCTGCCACCTAGTAGAAAATCAGCAGAGACATGGGTGAGAAATGGCCGCTGAATTTTGCTTACGAAACATCTCGTTCATGCTCATAAGGTTCTTTGACATGCTGTAAATCTACAACATGAGACTGCTGGCTTTACTTCCCCTCCAAAGGAAGCTGTGCTATGAATTTTTAATCACCCTTAAAAATCCATCGACCTTGTCCGGGTTTGAAGCCGTGAACCTTGGAACCAGCAGCGAGCATGGTAACCATTAGTCCACCGACGGTGACCTCTATAACCCTACTGCTGGAAAAAGAGCATCATTTGAACTAGCAGACCATATCTGTAATGCCAGTGAATATTGTAGGAGACTATCAAGTTCTTTTAAACAGCTTTTACTTTATCACCCACACAAATGACCAAACTATTTAAAAAATTCACAATCTTTGTTAACAATCATAGGGGTTGTTGCGCTGTGTAGTCTGGTCGATGTTAACCAACGTTTCAGAGGTCATCCTGCCTCCGTCATCAGAGTATGAAGATTTCTGTCTTCTGGGTTGTTGCGCTGTGTAGTCTGGTCGATGTTAACCAACGTTTCAGAGGTCATCCTGCCTCCGTCATCAGAGTATGAAGATTTCTGTCTTCTGGGTTGTTGCGCTGTGTAGTCTGGTCGATGTTAACCAACGTTTCAGAGGTCATCCTGCCTCCGTCATCAGAGTATGAAGATTTCTGTCTTCTGGGTTGTTGCGCTGTGTAGTCTGGTCGATGTTAACCAACGTTTCAGAGGTCATACTGCCTCCGTCATCAGGGCCCTGATGACGGAGGCAGTATGACCTCTGAAACGTTGGTTAACATCGACCAGACTACACAGCGCAACAACCCAGAAGACAGAAATATTCATACTCACTGCTGTGAAAACCTGAAATCTTACATAATAACCTAGCTTTGAAATGTAATATACGTAATTAAATCAGAGAAGGAGAATGTTCTACTGCCACCCACACAGAAGGATTGTTTCATTATGTTCAATTACCCTTAAAGCTAATATTCAGGTATTTACTAAACAAACAACAATGAAACTTGGTATTGCTTCCATACTTTTCAAACACACAGTAGTAGAATGTACAGGTCTAACAAAAATGATTCCATAAATCCTCCTATGACACCTGATGTTCCCTCACACACAATGAAGTACTTTAAATAAAATCTTAAAAAGAAGCTAATATTAAATTCCATAAAATTTAAAAATTCTAATAAAATACAGTATGAAAAAGAAATTAATCAATATGAAACATTCCACATTAGTAACCATATTCAACACATCACCGCCTTAAGCAAGATGATCTGGGGAACTAACGGAAAACTTACCAGTGTAAGGAACTACAGGCAATTCATAGTTTCCAATTCCAAGTTCCACTCTTCTCTGCACTATCAGATGCATACACTTGTAGCTCCTTACAACATGAAGTTCCTTTGTCTATCCTTCCTCATTTTATATATATACATTAACTACTTTAAGAGATCTTATTCCCTTCTCTTATGGGTTCTGACTGCATGCTTGAATATTCACAACATAAAGTTTAAATGATTTCTGTCCTGCAGTTGCAAATGTTTAAAATCACAAGTAGCAAGATCACAGTTACTAGTAAAACACTGTAATTCATTACCTTCTACTATCACATGAAAAGAGAACAATGAATTTCATGAGTCCCTTTACTATGCTGAACCACTGTTTACTGTGTAATGTGTAATCACCATACTGTTATGAACACTTATTTTAAACGAGATATACATATGTATCTACCGACTTCAGCTGTGATGTTGGCATGGTGGTATATTATTCTACATTATATGTTATTGTACCATTATTAATAAAGTGGAAACTGCTGCATTATATTATACACCAAAGACTATACAGTATTCAAAGAAACAGTATCCTTCATGTAGCTTATTTTAGCTTGGCTTCTGCAGGCTTGATGCAGTGGAGTTTCCTATTCGCTGCTGTACTATTGTGAGCAACATGTCTGAATACTGCTGCATCATGGCCACCACATTTGCCTGATCTCCTTGACCACCGCTAGCAACAATGTCCTGCAATTTGGATGCTACAGAAAGAGACTCTGCTGCAGTAGCACCAGTTCCGCCCGCTGCGACATTTCGGAGTGTTCTCTGAGCCTCGTTGACAGCCTCTTCCAACCCACGCAACATTTCTCTGTGGTCTGTCTGGTCGCCCTCTAGTGCCAGGCGTTTGTATAGCTGTACCACACTGTCTGCAGTTCGTGTCAATTGATCTGCAACTGAGCTGCACAGCTGCTGTGAAACTGCAACAACATAAGCCTTTATGGTAAACCAGAAGTGACTCTGCAATAATGAAACATACTGCTCAAATTCTGGAAATGTTTCAACTGAACAAAGCGTACAAAACTCATACATGGATACGTGGCTGGTTATACGTTTATGGTTTCAAACTCCTACCTTGCCTCCACCCAAATGTTTAAGACAAAAAAACATGTTTCCTACTAGCATTTAGTTATGAGTACAAGCTGTGATAATGAAGGTACTAATATTTACATAAAGTGATTATATGATTTCTAAATATATCCATTAATTCCTTGTCCTTGTGTTAGCTGAAGCCAAACATAACATATTTTATGGTATTCCACATGCTGGTTTAAAGCAGATATGATTTTGAATTTGGCCATCATGTGCATCATTACCATCAAAATTACAAGCAGCAATCAGTACAAATTACATGGAAATTTAAGTAGTTCACACAGTTGGCCAAAATAAACCTCTGAAAATTGTTTTGAAAATAGTAGATACTTTTAACTTAGAAGTATATGGTTTTCAGCTTGTTAGCACTGACAATTGGGAAAGGCATTTATATACTACTGATGTCTGCATTATTCTTGCCAACAGTAGCAGCTGTGAAGAGTTCAAAAATTAGGGAAACTGATAAGATTTTCATGGTATAGAAAATGTCAAAAGTAGTAGTCTGTAGTGTAAGGAAAATCAGTACAGTCAGTGAATGAAACCTGGCTGCTCCTATGATTTATTAGTTTAATAACATTTGTTCTTACCTGCATTGGTTATATAGCATCAAATGAGATAATGGCACTGAATGAAGAACTGGAAGGAATGCATTAAGAGGTTTGTGGCTATCTTAAGGTAATATCATAGCACTAATATGTTTGGACTGAAAAAAAACTACAAAGTACCTCAGTCCAGATATGAGAAACAAACCTGGGACATCCCAAATATGAAAAACGAGTACTAACAATTCAATTGTGACGTGCAATATGAAAATCTAGCAAGGTCAAAGTTTCATACACACTTAAAAGTCAATGAGAAGAAAAACTTGAAGAAAAATCACTTAATACATCAGGCACACATTAAAGAAAAGTATTATAATTATTTAAAAGAAGAATGATGTGAGGGTATGGACTGGATTTAAATGACTCAGGGTATAGCCCTATGGTAAATTATTGTGAGTTCTATAAACAGGGAATTTCTTAGCCAGCCTCTCAAGAACTCTGCTCCATTAAGAACTTACGTGGTGCACTGACTACATCATAGACAGCAGAAGGCTGATCAGTGTCCTTCACAGGAAGCTCTTGAGGGCTCCGTTCCAGTTGGTTCTGCCTCGATGCTGGAACTGGTTTACTTCCACCTTGACGGCCAGCTGCGACTAGTCGCTGTGGAGCTGGGCGACTAAGATCTCGGTCACTGCCATAACGGCCATGAAGTGATGATCCACCTGGACGACGGGGTTGAGGTTGTGGCTGAATACCATTGGATGGCAAACTGGAAGGAGCACTGCAAGAGTAAAACAAATACTTTTCTTAACCACTTTACAAAATCAGACTGACAATACTTTCCTCAATATAAAATAAGGTGCTTTTCTTAATTTAGCATAAGAACAATTAGGAATCATCTTAATGTAAGTGTAACAAGTAAAATTCTTTACTAAGACGAAAGTTACATCACCAGGTGGACCCAGCAAAAGTCTGAGAGCGACTTCAGTTGTCTCCCTAGATCAATATTGATCACAATGTATCACAAGCAGTACAAGTACTCAAAAAGTGTTGCTACCCAGTGTGGTCAGACTGTTGTCTGTTTTGTGTATACAGTCACTTTATGACAGAATGGAATACATACTAAGCAAAAGTCAGCATCAAGAATAACATTATACTTGAACAGTACCTTCTTTACTCAAAAAGGAAGTGCCAGATGCAATCTGACAATGTTAAAAGAAGTATGAGGGATCTGAATTCAAGTTTTGAAAGCCTTTTAACACATCACTAATTTAATGATCCATTATAACGTCATTTTCTTTTATGTTTAATATATGCCAATTGCAAAATATTTACCAGCAATTGACCTACTGCAATGGAATATACACAGATGATCAACAATAATTTAATTCACAAATTATGTTAATTAAACCAGAAGAAAACTGGGCAAAATTTTGTTAAGTCAACAAAAGAGGGATTCCTCAAAAATAATGTATTCAGTTTTACTAACAATTTTATAAACAGGTGCAGCATCAGAGTTGGTATTCTAGATAAATCATTGTTTCAAACGCATGTTCCCATTATGTTTTTAATAATTTTTAGAACTGCAACACACCAAAATATTACAAAACAAAGGAGCCCATATATAACAAAATCTCAATTCCTAGATTACACAGAAAAGAAAGTACCCTATATGTGATCGATCAATGCTGGTGCTCCGAGGCCTGATGGCAGGCTTTCCACCTACAGGTGATGTCTCTTCTGAACTTGAATCTTCATTGTTATTGCCAACTTGACTCAGGTTTACTGGGAAAAAAAATATTATTATATAATGAAATACTAAGAGCAAATGTTATAAATTCTGCATGTGCATAATACTGAAATTCCTGGTACCATACACAAATAAGACAGTGACCATCAGTTGACCAGTTACACAGCAGATTGTATTTATGCATAAGGGTCATAAGAAACAATCACAATTACATACTAGAGATTGGTCATATAGAAACTTATTTTGGCAATCAATTTAAATAAATAAACAATTTATACATTAATATGATACTCTAGATGAATGTAAAGTATGAATTTAGGTGTTCCATAGGAAAGAAGGATGAAAAGACAGAATTATTTAAGAAAGAAAACAATATATAAGTGAAAATGACAGGAGCAGGAAGGTGAGATCCAATCTTTAACAACAAACAGCAAGGGAAGAAAGTAAGTGAGAAAGCAAGCATGCATACATGGGTGGGGAGGGAATGGGAGGACATATGAATCAATCTACTTGATGAGAGGGGATAAGGCTACTCTAACAGGCAAGCTGCCTAGAAACAGATGTCTGCAAAGGCTGCAACAAAGTAACTTATGCAATTTGTGATTAATGTGTTCAAAGGATGACACACTTAAGTTCTTGCCATGTATTGGTAAAGATGTTATAAACATCTTACACATAATTTAATATTATTCATCTGGAACTGTATGAGGTCTAGCTGCATTTATATTCTTACTCTACGCACAAAAACTTTTAACACAATTTTATAAGCCAAACTATCCTGTACTTGGTGATCAGATGATTACCAGAAGAGTAAGCAGCAGTAAGACCTCTCCGCCTGGCATTCTGGTTGCTGGTAATACTCTTGCTGCCACCTAAACTTGTCACCTTGTTCTGTGAACTGATAGTGGGCCGCATCAAGCCATTCACTCTTGATGCAGCTGTGGCATTTGATCGCTGTGCCAAACTCAGATCACTTTCCGAGTCACTCTATGGATCGTAACAGATAAAGATACACATCACAGGTAGGTATAACAAATGCTGGTGAGGATGTCAGTTGTAGTCTTCCAGGTTAGGAAGCTGTGTAGTCTTGTACATTTTGGAGAAACACTAGTAACCACCCACAAGATCACAACTGGCAAAAACAAATGGATTTGTTTTCAAAACTTGCCATCAGATATACACAACAAATTAACATAACAATAATTTATTGGATAACACTAAGATTGTTCTTCAATGCAGCAAATAAATTTTGTAATGTTGTTAACAAGGTCTAAAGAATATGATTTTTAAATATGGTGGACTCATGTCCACATCACATAGTCAAAAATAAAGGTGCGCCTAAGAACATAGTTCTTTGTGTGTGCAAATAAACACAAGAAGGTAAACTACATCATTACCACTGTAAAGTATCATGGTGTTTAAAAGTTACATCCAGCATCCAGCTACATGGAATTATCTTGTTAATCAAACTAAATGAACTCAATTTGAAGTTTTAACTAATTGAACTCAATTTGAAGTTTGAGCAATGTAAGTGAGAATGTCAAAGAGGTACAATAGCATTGGAGAAAAAAAAATCCATATTTATGACAACACAAAATAAAAAAACACACTTCAATGATATCTTTAAGGACATAACCCAATTTTTTATGTAGTTATATCACGCATGTCACAACAATGCATAACAACTGACAGCTCATCAGAGCATCACATAACCAGTGATCACTGCACTGACCAAGACCTAGCAACAGCATCACAAACGCAAGTCACTTATTACAATACAATATCCTCTATTACCAAAATCTTATATAATATAGATTCAGAATATTCTGAATATTAATAGTGAAATTTATTTCCCCATTTTATTTAATTTCAGAAAGCACCACTACATGTACCTCGTAAATGCTAAAAAGATCATAACATAAGACTGTGTTATAAAACTACAAAACTCATTTATCATTATAGTATGGACTAGCAAAAAATTTACACCAACTGAAGTGCGCATAAAATTATTAAATATAATATAGAGATAGTTTCCATAAGATTAAGTAAATTCATAAAGTGTAACACTTGTATATTAAAAAATAAACATGGAATGGCATATCAAAATACCTGCAACAATAATTTCAACTTTAATATACAATTTTCACATTTCCTAGTATATTATAAGAAAGGCCTGATGATGATGCTGAAACATATAACCTTTGCTACTGATATATATTTCATAATACACCAAATGTGTATAACTGCAAAAATAAAATAATCTAGTTACACATAACACAACACTATGCCACAAGAAAAATAGGTTTGCAGATTTTCACACAATCCCTTGGCACTCATAACATTATAACATACCGATTTATTTCTGTGGTAACATACCTGGTTTAACATGCCCATTGAAGTGCTTCTTGTCATGTTGAAGTTGTTACTCAGGCTTAAAGTTCCAGCTTTCAACCCATGTCGAGGCAGGGTGCGGCTGCCAGCAGCACCACCCTTACTGGTCACCTTGCCTGAAACTTAAGCCCACACAAGTTCTGCTATTGATAATGCAATACAACTTCTGTAGGCAGAAAAATCATTTTTATATTAGCTGGAGGGAAATATTCACTTGTCTATTAATAATAAAGGGAAAGTAATGGAAGGAAACTGCAATTAATGTGCAAATCTGTGTGAAGAATAAAATATGACACTCACGTAGCATTAAAGCTGTCAATTGTAATCAACTAAATGTCTCACACTAATAAAGTACATTCTCATGTTTAAGCCTATGGTGACTAGTTAAATACAACCAATGTTCCAGAACTTTTAGCAGTTTCTATCTCCAGAATGAATTTAGAATCATCTATGGAAAAGTATGTACAGGCCTGAAATACAAACCGATCACATACAATATCATTCCCTTCCTGACAACCCATATATATATACCTGTCCATGGTGATTTCCATACAGTAATCACAATGTTTACCAAATTAATGGACACACTTAAGCAATCTGTGGAACTGAAGCTCAGATATCAAGAAAATATTAAACCACTGACTGCAAAAGCCTATGATAAAAGAATTAACCAACAAACTACTTAATTTCAATGTTGTAATTTTTATTGTTGTATTAATTACTGACAATTATCTAATACAATCTGTTGCAAATTAAAATTGTGTGATATATTTTGGCTAAACTGGATCTGAGGTTATCATGGCTGTAAGTCTGAAGATGGCAGTCTTCTGGGCTGTAGCTTGGTAATATTCTACCAGATTACGTGGCCCTACAACCCAAAAGACAGCCATCCTCATATATTGGCAAAATTCTACCATCCTCAGGCGCAGTCATTCTCATAAGGTAATAAAAGTTATACACTTGATATTCAATACAGGTGTCATTCTAATATTATTATTAATTATTTTCTTGTATTTTTATGAAATCTATATTATAGAACATATGTACAAATCTGAAAAGCTTAAGCACATGAATGCTCCCAAGGATGGTGGAATTCAGAGAACACATGTTGGGCAATTTTAATTTGCAACAAGTTATATTAGATAATTTAATAATTTAACTTAATTTAATATGAAATAATTCACTAATCTTAATGGTCCTAAGCAAAATTCTTTTAATCACTTTCCCCTCAGAACTAACATGAAATGAATTTTCAAATTAAAATACTCAACTTTGTAGATATTCAACCATGCAGAATATATGGATACAGAAGAGGTTGAAATTGAAATACAAAGTATGGAAAGACTGCTGTCTGACATAGGCATAAAGTTTGAATAACCCTTTACATTCACATTGGAAAATTTGATACTAAGCACTATGGAAAGGAATTATGATAACTGTATCACTTCAACACAGGAACATTAAAAGTATCCCTTACATATTAAACATCCATGCTTTCTTAAAAAGACATGCAACATATATTAACAAGCACTGATTATCCACAAACTACACATATCCATAAATAATATACACAGTGATCAAAATATACTGAATATAATTACAGATATCATTAATTCCATCATGAAAGTGATGCAAGTGTGTAATTACTTAACTGACCCGTGGATGTTGAACATCAAATCTGTTGGTATTGGATAAAATATGGTTACATTTCCTTCTTATCTGATACAAAATTAATAAGGCTACATTATGAAACACAAAGGTGAGATATTTTCTGATGAATTATAACTGCACATTCAATCACAATTCATCAACTTCTGTCTTCAACAGATAATACAGAAGAAATAGAAATACAGCAGTATAGTACATCAACCATTTTTTAGGATTTCAAGAATCCTATAACTTTGTCAAGTATTACAGAACATTAGAACAATATGGAATGCCTCAAACACTAAGGTGACTAAAATGTGTCTGAAGTGAACACACAAAAAAGTCCATCATTTGTGTAATGTTTGCAATTTACTAGAATATAAAAGAAGGGAACTAAATTACATTTGAGAAACGGCTCTCAAACATTTTGAGATGCCTCCTTTATGGGTGCTGAAAGAAGCTGAGATATTACATGAAAAACTGAAAAATCTCAGACACACTTTCTGGTATCCCACACAAAGTAATAATGATCTATGAACTTCACAAATACACTGCCTGATTAAGAGTATCCGGACACCCCTCTGGAAATGTAAACTCGAGCCTAGATATCACTACGACCGCTGCTGCTGCTATAAAAGGAGGCAGAGGGCTCGATGTTGTTCAGTGCTATGCGATACCGACAGAATGGGTGGAGCAAGGGAGCTCAGTGGCTTCAAACGTGGTATGGTTATTGGTTGCCACATCAGTAAGCAAGCCGCTTTCAGTGGTGTAAAGAGCGCCGCTACTGGGCTGTGGACAACTGGGGACGCGTGATTTGGAGTGATGAATCGCGCTATACCATGTGGCAGTCCGATGGGAGGGTTTGGGTGTGGCGAATGCTAGGTGAACGCTACATGCCGGCCTGTATAGTGCCCACAGTGAAATTCGGCGAAGGTGGGGTAACAGTGTGGGGGTGTTTTTCATGGAAGGGACTTAGTCCTCTCGTAATACTACGGAGCACGTTAAAGGTGGAAGGATATAAGGACATTTTGACCAGCTGCGTGTTGTCTAAGGTAGAAGACCAGTTCGGAGATGATAACTGTGTGTTTCAGCATGACAATGCTCCCTGCATAAAGCAGGGTCTGTTCATGAGTGGTTTGTGGACAATAAGGTTCCGGAAATGGACTGGCCAGCCCAGAGCCCCGATCTCAATCCTAGTGAACACCTCTGGGATGAACTAGAAAGGCGACTGCGCGCCAGACCCCAACGACCCACATCACTAACTACGCTTGCTATAGCGTTGCAGGAAGAATGGTCGGCCATTCCCCCGGCGACGTTCCAACACCTGGTAGACAGTCTCCCCCGCAGAGTTAGAGCTGTAATATATGCTAAGGGTGGGCCCACCCTGTATTAACGACCACTACTGGGCAGTAAATCCGAGGGACACTTAGAGAACAGTTTCGCGTAGGTGTCCGGATATTTTTGATCAGGTAGTGTATGTTACGAATATAACTGTCTTCTGGGATGTTGCACCATGTAGTCTTGTATAAACTAACAGATCTTTCAGAGGTGCTTACTGCCTCTATTACTGCCCTTATGATGGAGACAGTAAGCACCTCTGAAACCTTAATCAATTACAACAAGAATACATGATGCTATATTCCATAAGTCAGTAATATTTATACTCACCACTGTAAGAACCTCATTTATTAAATATGTTTACAGATTGGAAATGTGAAATTTCATTAGACAAATTAGTTTTCTACTCCAAAGCATTATGCCCCAAGCACAAGAAATTATACAATTAGCCAATGGGGAAATATGTGATTAAACTCTCACACACATCAGATATACTGTGCACAGTGGCGTAATAACACTGCTTTAGACCAGCGGTTCCCAAGTATGTTCCTGCAAGCTGGACTGAGATGTTCCACTACTGAAATGAAGTAATGGCAGTCTTTTCCCAATTTGCAATCCTATCAGTATTACTTGCTGAGATGTGCAGACCATAATATATGACATTTCCTGCAAGTAATACTGTTACTATTTTGAATGATGGCATAAAAAACATGGTGTTCAGCAGACATCACCATGAAATCCAGGTGCTTCACAAAATTATTAATTATGGATGGGAACCACAGCTCCAAATTTAGAGTTAAATGGTTTGAATACTGTCAAGGTTTCCAGTTATTGAGAAGTCTGTGGTTCCCCCCAGCGTTTCCAGACAAACCTTGAGACAGATTACGTCTGCCCACTTTCAAATCCTTTACCCACACATTGTTCATTATCATCTTCCCACCTAATTTAATGTTATGTTACTTCTGAAGTTGAAACAACATTGCAAGTATTGTGGTGGAGAATGAGTTGTTCTAACTCCCACAAAAACAAAACATCTCTTAACAAATTCAGGCACTGATCATATGTCTCTGAAGTTCAACAACAATCTGTTGTTCATGCTGAAGAAATGTAAAGCACACACAACAGTGAGGATCTGAGGTTGCTGTTAAGCCAGAATATAGCATAAACTCCAAGCGTACAGCACTTAAAGGGAAAAATGTTTGTTTTGGATCTGTATTGGTTCCAATGATACAATATGAAAGGAAAGATAGCCTACCTTGAATTGGGGCAGCATGCAAGAGCTTCTGTGGTGCTGTATTCGTCAGGTCACTCAATGAACAAGCTCGACGCAGACCACCTGATTCACTTGACTGAGTTCCATTGCCACTGTCTGTTATGCAAATAAAAAATAAAAACAAGCATGCTACCTAGCTACAGAAGTCAAAAAGTGCCAAAAAAAATCTCACTTGTCACACTTAGCTGTGTATGCAACAGACTCAAAATTATTAAGAGAACTCTTTAACCTTTCCAGCTCAGCTTCAACATAAGTGCTGTGCTAAAAAAATTGTAATGAGTTTGAAAACTACAAAACAACAGCAGAGAAATGATAATGACAGCTATATCGCAGCTTTCGACTACCACACCTAATATGTGCTCAAGCTAATGGATCATAAAAGGACCTTTTCATAAACATTAAAATAAACATTTTAAATTAAGTTAAAATCTAGGTTTCTTTGAAAGATAAAAACCAATGTGATACTCTAACAGAACACAGAGAATATAAATCATAAAACATATGACTACACAGAAAATCATTAAACAAATTAAGGAAGACAAAGGTAAATTAATTTTAATGCATCAAATTTACAATTACATGCAACAATTTGAAATCAATTTGCTCATATAAATTCTGTATTCTGATTAAAATCAATAAAATTAGTGTAATGCCCACTGAATTTCAAGGTGTAGTTAGAGAATATACAGATCTTACTCAAAGAATCTTTGAACACAAATAGCAAGACAGTTTGGAAGTGGAAATGGTTGTTTGAAAGCCTTTACTGGTTTCTTGGAATTATGACCATCTGATTTTGTGTGGCCATTATATCTGAGCAATACACTGCTGTACCATTCATAATGCTGCATTTCCTTTCCTCCTAGTTTCTTGGCCACAACAAATGTTGATTCTGTAGTACATAAAAGCAATGGAATTTGTACATTTGTGTACCAAATGGGGGTTCGCAGTGACCGCGCGTTTCGAGGCGTGGGACTGTGGGTTCAAATCCCACACAAGCCATGGATGTTTGTCTGCGTTTTTCAGTATTGTGCTGTCCTGTGTACAGGTAGAGGCCTTGCGATGGGCCGATCCCTCGTCCAATGAGTCCTACTGAATATCTATAGATCAAGCCAATGAAAAGTTGGGACCCGCAGTGCTCAGGCATTTTGAAGAACGGGTTGTTCCCAGTGTACCAAATGGTTATATTCTCATCGACTGCTGTACAATCTTAGAGGTTCTGACCTCACTCAGAGAGTATTTTTAATGAAGCCACACTACTTATCCGCCATGTGGCAGCTCAGTTTATGAATGGACGGGAATTAATTGGGTCATAAATGAAGGACTGAACCTCATATAGCTTGAGCCTTAGTGTTTTGGAACGTACACAGAATGCAAAACAGTTTCTAGAGATTATACACTACAGTGTAATATGATGGGTTTGGCAGGGGACATGTAATTTTTGCATTCTCTATTGTGTTTGATGTGGCTAAGAACTAACTCAAACTTTATTTCAGTGGAACATTTCCAACCAAGTAAATATCAAATAATTTGTCCCAAGCACAAAAAAACATGCACTGGAACAGATATGTCACATTAGACATGATAAATATCACACTTTTATGGCATAAAGCCATATGGAATTGTTAAATGGGGCCTTTCGGCAAAATCTGTTAGTCAGGTATGCTTTTTATGAAAGTACAGACATTTAAATAATTGTTTTAATCAATGTGTCAGTTAGTTCATATAACAGAAAGCAAACATAGCAGACAGCTGAAAGAGTCTACTTTGTAAGCAACATTTCATGCAAACAAACATGCTACAAACAATGTGCACAGAAAATGTTGGTGGCCTCATGTTACCTGGGCCACTACATTTGGACGGTAGGATCTGGTGTCTTGTGCCAAGTCTCTTGCCAAGATGTCGCTGGTTGGGAGCACGAGATGCTGGAGGCCACAGACGCTTTGGAGAGTTGGCAGCAGATGAGGAAGTGGCAGGAGTTGATGAACCTGAACCCCCCAACACTGGGAAACTGTCTTCCTCAGCGCAATCATCTGATATGTCACAGTCTTCTACTGCATTCTCAAAACTACGACAGAGAAGTTTTACACCTCCTGGTCTCACTGTGACAGGAGCGACTGTCTCTGGTTTCAGCAGCACATCATGTGAACCAGCACCTTCTTTAATATATGAGCACCTTACAAAATTCATCTGTGATCCCTCTTTTTCTTTCAGTTCAGTATGACTAGTATTCTTTGGATCTTCTGAACAGCATCTTTTCACAGCTTGTGATGTGGTTCCTTGCAGGATGTCTTTGTTATTATTTTCAGTAAAGTCAATTGCTGTATCACTAATTTCATTAGAATCTTTTCTAACATCAGACACAAAGTTTATTCCAACTGAGTGGTTTGCCTTCAGTGGTCTTAATGAATGCAGACTACTAATTTCAGAACTCTGATTGTTCCAGGGGCTTCGCTGTTTCATGTGCTGTTGTGAAGGTTTCTGTCTTGGTTTCAATGGTGGTTTGTGTGTAATTTTCCCTGTAGGTTTTGGAGCAGTGGGAGGTCGATTTGAGCTGCGTCGATGTTGTTCAGTTGTCTCCCCTATATGCTCTAATGACTCAGAAGCTTCTTGCATACTTTCAGCATTTTTTTTCATGCTTGATTCGTGACGTAAAGAATGGGGTTTCATATTTACTTCAAAAGCAGTGGTGTATGATTTATCTGGCAACGAAAACTCTGAATGCGTCTGTAAAGAAGTAGGAGTTTGAGGTCGGCTATGAGGATAAGAATTTTTCCTGACTAATGAACCACTTGTTGGTCTTTCACTGCACTTTTTGAGTAATGGACTAATATCTTCATGCAGAATTATTGATGGAGTTTGGGATTTACTATTGGAAGCAGTGGACACACATTCATTACTTGAAAGTGTTGAGCGTGTGTCTTGAAGACTTAGAGTACGAAAAATTGGTCTGTGGTTATCATCACTCCTATTGGAGGTTTCTGAGTCACCTTGTGTTTGCTGCAAATTTCCAGATACATTTTTATTTTCATCTGTAAGTTTCAATTCACATTTTGACTTAATTCCTGAATTTTCAACAGAACAAAAAAGTCTGTTCCTTAATTCTACTTCCTGATTACATGATCCAAATACCTGGCAATCACTATCATCTGTAAGAATGCTTTCTGTGCTTTGACAGGAATCTCTGTGCCGGATGTGTTCATATTCTGCAAGGTTCCCTCGCTGCATTGAGGAAAAATGATAATCACTCTCAAGGATGCTCTCTGTGCTTCGGCATGAGTCTCTATGCTGGTCACGGTTATATTTTGTTGGAATATTATGGTGTGAAAATGACTGATATTCACTCTCATCTGTCAGAATGCTTTCTTGACTTCGACATGCACCCATATTGCGCCGTCTCAATGAGAGGAAGAAGCTTGCACTACTATGACGGTCCTGTTCATAATTTGAACACATTTCAAGAATATCCCCACTATTGTTACAGCTTGAGACTTGGCCACTTGTGTTTGACAGTATGCTTTCCTGACTGTTAAATGCTTCTCTGGACCTTTTGCATTGCCTCCCAGCTGCACTTGCTGAACGTTGTTCAAACTCATATCCAACCAGTTCTGGTGGACGTGTGAATATCTGATAGTCACTAACACATCGACGTGGAGTTCTATTACTAAATTCACTTGGCTCCTCCAATGAGTCAGAACTGAAATCACCATTGCCATCCTCCTCATCACAACTGTCCAGTAGATTTTCTTCACTTGATGCCATTACATTTGCCTGACTCAGAGTAGTTGGGAGAGATTGTGAAGACTTTGTAACATTTTTTAAACTTTTAGTTTGGAATTCCTGTTCATTATCAGTCAATGTATTCAAGTCTATGAAATAACTACATGACCTTCGTTGTTGAACAAATCTTGATGACTTAATATTTGTTTCAGAATCAGTCAAGTTATGGAACAATGCTGTTGGTGAACTCATATCTTCACACACTGGTGACTCAGGTAAGGACTGATTGGTAAGTGGCTTGGATTGGCTTTTGTTGTGTTTAGTATTACTACTACCACCACCACCACCACCGGAATGTAAATTAAGAAAAGCAGGGCGTTTACTTGGTGATATTGCACCGTACTGTTGTGTTTCTCTAATGGAATTACCACTAATGTTAGATCTAACAGCATTCAAAGCTTTAGTAGCAGTACCGGCAGTAGGATACAAAGCATTGTTATTAGTAAAAGGTGCTTTCGCCCAAGCTAAACCATCACTTGTAGCACAGGATTCAAGGTCGTCACTAGACTTCACTCCAACACATACATTAGCAACAGAAGCATTGCTTTGTGACAATCCAGATGGATTGGTGTCTACGGAGTTACTATCAGTAAGGGATGAAGAACAAATATTACCAGTAATTTCCATCACTACAGAGGAACCATTACTTGAAGGTCCACCTTTCATAACTGTAGCAGTCCTTTTTGTTATGGGTAAGGTGTGGTAAGTGGAATACATTACAGTTTTGGTGGTGAGTGATGCTGTTTCAGAGTAGTTCTTCAAGTCTTTGGGAATGTCAGTATATGGAAGTGAGATACATGTAGTGGAAGATATTTTAGGTTCTGTAACTGTTACCAAACACAATGAATTTGGCAGTGGAAGAGATCGTAATCTAGCAAGTTCAGTTTTGTTACCAGCACTTCTCAAGTTTTTAGGAGTTTTTGCAACAGGAAGTGTATTGTAAAAATTTGCAGAAGTTTTAGTAATAGCATTTTCAAGCATGAGTTTTGAAATATGTGTGAAGTATTTACTACGAGATGAAGCAACAGTTGGCTGTAAAGGGTTAGTTGTGAAATGTTTTGGTTGATGAATAACAACAGGATTAATGGAAGACTGAATTATATTAGATGACTGTAACATAGCAGAATTTAGATGATGACTCATAAGAGAAGCAGCGTATTGTTTACCTCCAGCAGGAGTGTAACGATGTGCATGGTTGGCCCCACGCCTTCCATTTTTCTCAGGTATGTGGCTCAAGTCGGTAATGCTCTGGCTGCTCTTGAGGTTTGATCGATAACCAACCTAGACATGAACACTAACATAAGGACACAATCACAACCAGAAATACAACAATGTACTCACTGCAATTTATACACATGCATATTTAACCTGAGAAAACATCAGATTGTATCATAATTAATGTTCTTATTCTTGTGTCCTCTAACAAAAACAAGGATATCATCATGCAAAGAAGGGCATACCAATATATTTGCATGGTCGAAGATATTTAGTCTAACAACACAGAACAGCAAGATATACATCCCACTATGCCACCAGCTAGTGAAACCTTGACATTATTATACTTATGTGTCTTAAAATTATTTAGTTATGCAAAGTATTTTATAACCTACACTCTGTAATTTTCTACGAGTTTCTTCTATTCTGCGTTGCAATTCTTCACGCTTCTTAGATGTCTGACTGTCAACACGAGTTTGTTTAGCAGCATTAATCACTGCAACATTACGAAGTGTTGAAGAGGATAATGGTCCACCTTGGTTTGCCCGCACTAGAAACTGAGATGATATGCTGGTTCCAGCTGGGGGGAAAAAGTATTTGTCATAAAACTGTCTGAAAGTAGCAAATCACTAAAAAGCCAACACTTAACATGCCTGGAATACATTTCAGTATTTACTTTAACATCCTTGTTAACCAAGCAGTCAACCAACAAACACCCCACCCATTTGTATTATTTGTTGCCATGTTTAAAAACCTTTCATTACACCATTAACAACAACAACAATATTATGCATAAAACTTATTTCTGACCAGTTTCCACTTAACTAGTCATCATCTGGCATGTTACCTATCTTTCCTTATGTTTCAATCAGTGCCATGACTTACGTTGTTAATGTAAAATCTGTTTGTTCTACAGCAGTTCATAATTATTCACCTAGTGGAAAAAACTCCCTAATATTATAGAATCTGAATGTTCATCACAGAGTTTACAAAAGCCTGCAATTGTAACCTATTCAATTTTGTTTACAGTTTCACAAACTAGTACTTTGGTGGTCTACAGACAAAATTTCAAAAACTTCTGTATCAAAGATTTGTGTTGAAGAACAGCCAATCCAGTGCAGGCTTTTCTGTGTGCCTTCCCTCACCTCTGAGAAGGGAAAAATGTTGCAAGTGTAGGAAATGCAAGACGCTCCATGGTTCAGAGGCCACATTAAGTTTACATCTCTTCTGCAGGCCAATATTCTATCAAGGATAGCAGTGTCCACCTTAAGAATGACTCGATGAATGCCAAGATGGTTGAACAGACCACAACACAGGGCATTAACAACAGCAACATAACCACCACCTTAATCTTCAGACACCACTTGAATTTGGAAGGTCTTGAGTTTTAATATTGGCCTGGAGACTAATTAACAAAACTGAGAATTTTACACTTTTCCTCAGTGCCTCCAGGAAGTTCCTCGGATAATGCCTTAAAAAGTACCCAAACGTTTTCTAATTCTTCATTCACTTTCATCTTACAATATAATGCTACATAACTTAGGAACTGAAAATCATCAAGTAACTCAAGAACATCATTTACAAGCTACATCTTCAACATCTATTTCATCATTATACTCCTATCTATAGGCAAGTTTCCCAAACTGTTTCCCATGATACTTTCCAAACAAATACATCTGATTTCTTTCAGTAGAAATGAGCTGTTTACCTGCATCTTTGGTAGCTTCTTGTTCTGCTCCACTTAGAGATTCAAAGGTATTCTTAAGGTATTTTTCTCTCTGTCCAACATGATCCAGACTTTCTGTGCTGCTGAAATATATAAAATTGCAGAAGATATCTTACAGAAACTTTATCAGTTAGTAAAACATGCTAAGAAAACCTTCACTGCGTTATCTGACTAAATGTGCATGAAGACCAAATCTTTGATTAGAGTAAATCAGTCAGGCATGTGTTAACCAATATTCAACAAATTGTTAGAATCTAGGATAACCAAAGACTAGCAGAGATCAAGGACATACATAAAAAAGAAAAGGAAAGCATGGACACATGCACACAGCAAAAATACTTTTGCGAATATATAAAAAATGGAAAAGAATTTGCCACTAGACAACTCTCTTCAAAAGAATAGTCAACTGATAATAAGAGTGATGAAAGAATTTGGATATAAATGTGATATTTTATTCCTGCTCATACAGATGTATCATTAAAACTCAATATGTATTTCAGACAATTTTTTATGATCACATTTGCTGCTGAAGCACTCTATAAAATATTTTTGTTTCAGGCTTCTAGTGTTTGTATGTTGAATATATTTTATATATATTTTTTGTATGTACTATTTCTTTTGTAGTTTTAATATATACTGTATTTTCCTTTATTTTTAGATACCACTGATTTTAAAACACAACCTTGATTAATAATAGGTTTTCAGGAGGAAAAAAAAAGATGCTATACCGATTCTTAGATGTCAAGAATTGTAAGATACACTCTGATCTGAGAAGTTTCTCCTCTCCCCTCCCCCCCCCCAAAGAGAGGGAGAGAGAGAGAGAGAGAGGAAATGACTTACTGATCACATAACTCCAAGGTACTTAGTTTTTTTCGTAAGTGACAGGTACTCAGGTGATCAAGAAATTCCCTTATTTATAGATCCCAAAGTTTCATAATTGTGAAGATTGGTGTCTTCTGGGTTGTTGTGCCATGTAGTCTGGTAGATGTTTAAAGCAATCTTCAGAGTCACTGTCGTGAAAACCTCAAATCCTACTTTCATAATTGTGTTTACAACAGGTTGGATTCAGCCCACATTTCACACCACATCTGAATAAATATGTCAAAGAACTTTTCAATATCTTTATATTATCCTCCTATCTATGCCTACATCTGCATAGAAGTTTCTCCTATTGCATCCCACTCAACTTCTAATTGAATCACAACCACAATATTAGGTGGAAAGTACTATTATGAAGCTCATTATGCTATTTTTCACCCTAAACATTAAATAAAAAAGAGAATGCAATTTACTTATTTGTTATTCTGTCTCACCTGACAGAAAGCATGGACAGGAGGTTCCGTTCAGCTGTTTCTGCACTTGGGGTAGACACCTCATCATCATCCTCATCACTGTCCTGGCTACCAGACACAGAAGCTGATACTGAGACAAGTGGCAGATCAGTGAGTCGCTCAGGTCGCTGATTTTTCTTCATCCACCTCTGGGAACGTCGCAGTTCCTCCACATCCATGGCATTTACAGTGTAATCACTAAGTCACAAACATTCTTACTTATATTATAGAACTAAACAATATGTTTATATAATATCAGTACATGCTTTTAATGATACAGAAATCAAACTGGAACTCAATTACAAACCAATCTATCACAGCATGAAATTTTATGCAACAGAGAGTGAGTTTTGGACCCAAAAGTTTAATGATTAAATTAAAACAGTGGGGGCCAGAAGAAATACATAACTTACATATTCATAATATGGGCAAAAGCTTAAAGATAGAGACTATACAGTACCCAAAATCATTCCAACTTGTCACAACAAAAACCTATTGTATTTTCTTCATTTTGAGATGCCATCATTTGCAAGATTTGATTTGATTTAGTAATAGGTTTTCATAAAAAATGCTATATCAATTCTTAGACACCATCAAATGTAATATACCCTGATTTCAGAAATGTTAATTGTGAAAAAGTTTGCCTTAAAATGGAGGAAATACAGTAATTTGTCAACATTTAATGTTTACAGCCACATACCAAAAACTGGAAAAAGCTTCCTTCTACGAGGATCGTCCACAAAGTAAGTTTCCCTGGGGCCGTTTACAGAAACAAAACACAATTTCATGGAAATATTTATTGCAACAGATACAGCAAGTGTCCAGCTATTTTTCAACATATTCGCCACCGGAATTGAGACATTTGTCATACCGTGGGACCAACTTTTGAATACCTGGGTCGTAGAAGTCTGCCGCCTGGGATTGGAACCACTGTGTGACAACCATCTCCGCCTCTCTGTCATTCTCAAAACGCTGACGCTGACCGGACAGGAATTTCTTGAGGGGTAGGAAAAGATGGAAATCACTGGGAACGAGGTCCGGGCTGTAGGGTGAATGATCAAACACCTCCCAGCTGAACTCCTGCAGGAGACTTGCTGTCCGTCGAGCCGTGTGCGGCCGAGCGTTATCACTGACCGCACTTCACAGTCGGCGGGAGCTGGAATAAGAACCTCCATCTTCAACAGCTGCAACGATGCTACTGTAAGAACGCGGGAAGTACCGTTAGTGCATGCGCCATGCTACGTCATTGCTCTATCACGTACGCACAGTCGCTTCGCACAATATAAGGTTTGCTAGCTGTGGGACGAGTGGGAAACTCACTTTGAGGACGCTCCTCGTACAAACAGCAACTAAACTCATGTATTTACGTAAGATAAAGCTTAAAACGTGTGACACACAATTTAGCTACCGGATGCCTTGACGGAGGACTCTTTGTGGTTTTACCGAGTCTCTCCATGTGAATTATACAGTGATGTAAAAGTCACGCGTTAAAATCCTGACACATATTCCATTCGTCTAAAAGAAGAGTACGATATCCAGTCGGTTTGACTACCACAGGAGAATTAATAAATATCAGAAAGTGGACATAACGTCAAATCGATTCTTCCGGGAAGTCTCTATAATTCTCAACATACATCGCAACTGAAAGATTATTGCGTTTTTAAAACAAAATAAGTCATGTAATTATGGTTTGCAGGCAAATATAGGCTTACGTTGCTCCACGAAAACACTTGTTTTAATCCACAGCCGAGGTCATCTCGTAACAATCATTTCAAGACCATCCAAAAGTGGATCCAACATGCTTATACTTCTCATATGGGATACCAGTCTGTCCTAGGATTTCTGATACCTGGGAAGTCCTGAGGATCATTAATGCAGTGGATTCCCGCATCATATGCCGTTGACCCATCCGGGTTCATCCGCCTTAAGGGGTGATTTCTCACCCCAATGATTCTACAGCAAAGTATTTTCTGACATCTGACCTTCCTGTCTCCTCAGCAGGTGGATAATACATAACAGGATCCCCATGTTCTGGTTCGGTTGATTCTCCTTCCCCTTCAGAGTAGTCTTCCACATCACCGTCATGCTCTGTACTTTCCATGTCCTGCAATTAAACACGGCACAACATTCACGAAACACAATGACTTCACTTCGAAAACTATAAGACTGTTTCTTTAGTAACACTGCCTTTTATCCCACTATATGTACCAAAGTCTCAGTTATGAAAAGAGCTTTGTTCCTCACATTACAAAGCAGACCCCAACCATCTATCATGTTAGCAAACATGATCCTGAGTCTGTGGCAGACAGGGTCTGTGAAAAACTGGAGGTCAGAAATGGCTCTTGGGAGTCAACATAACATTTTGGAAAGAAGTTGTGATGCTATGATCATAGAATATATATAATAATTATTAAAGCTGAAGTCTGTTTTTGTCCATGACTTCCACTAGTAGACCCCCACTACCAGATGTGTACTGTGGACACATTCATAAGTTTTAATATACAATACAGTGCTTTTAAACTTCTTTTTTCACTAATGGCACCCTGAACACATATTTCAGTGGCTCCCCTATCACACTGCCCATCTTTGCAATTTTCTCAAACACTTGACACTCCTGAACAGATTTAGATACATCATACCACCAAAATGAATAATACAATAAGGAGGGAGCCAAGTAAATTTAAAACACATTTTATTAACAATAAAAATAGATGAATTAGGATGTTTACATTTCTCACCACCCTTGGACGGTGTCTAAGTGAACCAATAGTATAATACAGTATTGCGCAACCTTTCTACACTCATCGCACACTAAATATTGTTGAAGTGTCATGGTGGCACACCAATCCCGTGGGGGGGGGGGGGGGTGTTAGATGGTTTATGGCATTGATTGGCCGCAACAACTTCTTATAAATCGACCCCAACTGAAAAATGTTCATAGACTGCAGAAAAATACATAGAGTGGAAATAAAAGTAAAGGGGAGGTATACATGTTTTGCTGCAAAGTGGTTGTGTCACTTGCCAATTCCATTTGGTAGATCTTGGCTGTCCTCACTCTGCCCAATTGTAATAAAGAAAATGAAAACTGAGACAGAGCAGAAAACAAGATTAACAACTGTGTCTCATTATGGTTATAATTATAATATGAGGTGAAAATTTTGTGGCACACCAGTGTGCCATGGAACACTGGTTGCTCATCACTGCTATAATACATAAAGTAAAGTTTGTCCCGCTACGTGCCATATAGGCCCTTGGGCGGAGCGGAGGTATAGCTCCTACTTTTTCTTGACCTTGGCACAAGATGGGGTGAGTGGTCAGCATCACGCCCCGGCCGGCTTTACCCCCGGGAAAGGATCCCGGTACCCATTGTAGAGGAGGTTGGGTGGGCATCAGAGCTAGTCTGGACGCAGAGTCTAGAGGAAAAATCCCCTGCCCCTGTCGGGGATCGAACCCCGGTCGTCCAGCCCGTAGCTAGTCACTATACTGACTGAGCCATCCCGGCTCATGCTATAATACATATTTGACACAAAATCTGTGTATATACATGATCTTTCTCCAAATTCCTGAAGACTGCAATAACAAAAGACATGCAAAACTCAAGCTGTAAAAACAAAGAATAACAATATTTTGATAATCCCAATGTCAATGACTATATAACAACCAGAGAAAGGTGAATGGCTGAACAACAATGCAAATTATAAGTTAACAATGTGAGTAACTTCACAGAAGCAATGCAAAACAACAGCTGAAAGCAAGCCGGTTGTGAATATGGTAAACACTGCTTAAAACTTACCAGAAGTCACAGGCATCCCTCGAGAACACCTACAACCTGCACCTACTACAACTAAAGTATTTATGAGAATAAGTTTTTTTATTCCTTAAAAAACAATTTTGTTCCTAAAAATATCAAACCAGCACTATGCTATAATCAATAGCTGAACCTTATCAAGAATCAATGATTTTAGACCAGACACTGCAATGTAACACAGTGTTTTTACTTTGTTTTGAAGTGTACTGAACCAAAATCACACATCTGTGCACAAAGAACAGAATCTTGTTAAGCAGATACACCAAAGACAACAACTCACAAACATTACCATTATATGGTGGCAGATTGGTGATAGATGCTTCTTCCAGTAGTACAGGTTACAATTCAGAAGACTATATAAACTGTGACAGACTAATAAGTGTTTGCGAATAAAATAACTTTGTCTCTTATATGGATGCTTAATCAGTGAGGCAACTAGTTAATTCATTAATTAACTGGATAATAGGTTGACATAAATGTGATTAAATCTTAAAACTCACCTCAAACTTATAACTGCCAATGCTACTATCATCTGTAAGGTGGCGATTTCGTGTAAGATCTGTGATGTCACTTCCCCTTGTTAACGTTACTTTGCTGCTTGACACCTGCAAGCCATATTCTCCAATGTAAGAGAAAAACCATATTTATTGCTACTTCAGAAAATTAGTAACAATGACATGTGAAAAGACATGCAGGATTCTCTATTATTAACTATACAAATCTACAAAAACAAAACAAAAAAAGTTACAATAAACTACCATTCTTCACCTCAAGAAAACTAACAGTAACAACAACAACAACAATAATGATGGTGTTCCAATATCTTCAATACAGAAACATTTAGTGCTGAAATGTTATAAAAATACTGCTACTATATACAATACTGTGAAGACAACAAATACATGTATATTTTGTAATACTGGGAAATGCATGGTAGTGGCCAATACTAACAGGGAGTTAATAAAATACCTGTTTAATAGGCTGGCCATTAGTTAGTTCCTGGTAACTCTCAGGACAAGGTACAAAGTCAGAATTCTCTCTTCCACCCTGTAAAATATTAAACACATTAAACATATTACTATTACTAGTGATGCTGCTGCAAATATAAGAAGGATTATGCTCAATGGTTACGTAGGTATTGTTACTAAGTACTACAACTATACCGCCACAAACTACCACTGCTAGCATGACAATTATCACATTCTGTTACAGTGTTATTTTAGTATATACATACTACTATACATACTATACTACCACAAATCTAGTGACAGCACTGTAGTGAATTATCTGACGTAGTAGCCTGTTCAAACACAAATAAACTCTTGAAATAGAGGAAAATTACAAGATTTTCTGTTTAGTGGACATAAAATAACATCATAGCCTTTGCATATTTTATGAGGAATTCTATGAAGAAATTAAATATGGAAGAAATGGAAAGTTCTATTTTTACATGTCATAAATGGAACTTCCCATGTTCACTGCTGATAACAGAGCAAACAAAAAAATAAAAACCAGACTAATAATTTAATTTAAATCATTAGGGGAAAAGAGTCACTGCAGTGAAATAATTACCGAGTTATTCAATGTCTGCCTCATCTTTGATCCCAAATCTGTGTTGGAATTTTCGTTGTCACTCTCCTTCGGACTAACTACTAATTGTACTATGGTGGCTGGTTTCCATAAATCCACCTTTCACCCAATAGTCCCACTATTTTGTATTTTAAAAGTGAATGGCTTAGTACCTGTTTTGATATAATCATGGTTTCACGGCGGAAGTCTGTATAATGACGCACTTCTGTACCACTGTCAATGGAACTGTCTTTTGAGCCATCTGAGTCCAGCCTCTTTTCTGGAGACAATAATGAAAACAGTTTAGAAAGAAGAAGAAAGAAAGGAGTATTAGTACACATTTAGATGAAAGATATATTTAAATTCACTACCTAACATCAACTGACTGAAATGTAGGTATGTGCAACAATATATTAATGTTCTGAATAATGACTATGTGGTTGCATATGGAAGTACAGTAGCAGATCATCATTAATTTGAGGTGCACTGGAATGAAAAACACAAACTAAAAATTAAATAAATCTGAAGTATGCAATTTTCACCACAGACTTATCTGGTCAACATATGAATTGACATAAGCTATAATTATAAAACTGTAAGAAATATTGTTATTACAAACAAATTTCTCCAAATTATAATCATAAATAAACAAAAAAGTTATTTTGACCTGGATTTTTAAACTTTTTCCCCATTCTAGTGTGTGGATGAAGTTTATGTCTAGTATTAATGTAAAGGGTTAAAACATAGTCCCTAAGATGCAGTTACAAAGTAACAAAATATCGGAGAATATCATAAGAGAGTAATTATTAACATATTAGAGGACATAATAATATATGTACTTTGACAAAAATGATTTAGATACCAAGACAGAAAATGGAAAACAGATATCTCAGCCAAGTACACACAAAACAATAAGCAATTGTTTAAAGATATTAAAGTGTCTGCAATAATAAATCATATTTTAGAACACACTTACCCTGTCCTAATGGAATCTGAATGATGCTATCACTGTCATATACTGACTTCACAGTGATACCACCTGCATCCAGCCGCTGAGCCCACCGCCCTTTTGGCAGGTCCATCTGACGGTTTGTGAGACTTGCTGGAGGAGAGCTGTTGTCTGCCATCTGCTTCTTGGCCCACAATGGTAACTGACCTACACTAAACCTACGGCAAACAATATGGCTGTTACACAACAAACCTGCCCATCTGCAACATTGACTTAATGGCATAAGACATTGTTGTAGGTGTCAATAAGTGTTTCAAATGGAAGCACCATTTATTTCTGTACAAATCTATCTGTGAGCAGTAAAAAATACTTTTAGAAATTTCCCCACCAATGTTGTTGATGCTGAAAGGGTTAGATGCAGAAAGAGAGGTGGGGAGGAGAAGAAAGAAAATAGTTTCTAACCTGTAATCTGGCTGCTCCACACTATTCGCATTAGGATCCAGGAAATCTGGCGGCGGTGGGCCAAAGTGCTCATTATCAAGATGCAGTCCATTTGGTATCTGGGCCGCTATTCGCCTTCCAGCACGAGCTGCTTGCTGTGCTAGGCGAGCATGCATAGTGACCACCATATCATGTGGGACCTTCCACACAAAAATACAGCCATCACCAGATGCAGACACCAGTCGTCGACAGTCATTAGTGAACCGAAGACCAGTTACCAGTTCAGAATGACCAAACATTGTTGCCATACATTCACCTGAATAATAGTCATACACACACAGAGTCTTGTCTGTACAACTTGTGGCTGAATAGATTCCACTGCCATCCAACACAACCTACAAAGAAATAAATCAATAGCAGAATCTTCACACAATATTTTTGTAAATGAGTAGGAAAGTTTACTTGTGGTAAACACCTCTGGTGACATTGTTATGTACGTCTGTGGAATCTGACTGTCAGCAAGGTAAATAAATAAATACATTTCTGTGGTAAAAACACCAGTTACATAGACTATACTAGTCCCAATGGTAGTGATTGTGAAAATTAAGACTGACAGAGGCTACCTACAGCTTGCTTTGATGACAACTGACACATAAATGGTTTTTAACAGTCTTTGCATTGATAACACTGTTATAAACTGTCCTAACATGTACAAGTTTCTAAAATTTTTAACATTATTGTCAGCAATGCATAAGCCTTGCTTTATTGACCAAGTCATCAGTAGATGCAGTTATTTGTGTCTAGGGAGAATGAAACAGCACAAATATCTAACTGAAAATTTAGTTACATCAAATGGCAGACTGTGGAACATTGTGTGTTGTTTAAAACAAAAAAATTGTTAATTAATTTTAGACAATAATGTCAAACTCAACCTAAATGACACATCAGACAGGAGCTCAAGTGGGACACACCAACATTCTAAATGTAAAGATCATTAGAGAAGTCCCAATGCCTCCAAAGAGTGGCTAGGTGCAGCTGGCCTATCTGCAGTTACACACACTGCGATGTGCACTTTTTAAATATAACATGCAGTCTGTGTGGCAGATTTTGTTCATGTCTTATTATGTATCTTGCAGATGAGAATATGATGATGTAAAACATGCTAAATGAATCTATAGCATTCAGAAGGTAGAACAACTTTTGTGTCTACTAATTCTCCTTTTCCTATGTTCCTGGCAGGGGTGCTACTACACCCGGATTAGCTCTGGGGCCAACACAGCCTCGTATCTAATGGGCCCTGGGGATAAAACAGCAGAAACATGAAGCTGACCACCCACTTACATGTATTTCTGAGGTTAAAAATGAATGGAGCTTTACCTCCATTTACAAATACACTTTTACTGCATGGTACTTAAGCTCAGGAACAATGAAAATCCCACAAGAATGTCTCATAGGAAAAGATTAGAGGCAAAATGAATGTTCGAACTGATATCCATTCTGTTGTTTGCATATACAGATGAAATAAACATAACTACTGCACACACACACGCACATGCAGAATGGACTTCTGCACAAAGAGTGCAGATATTCACTTTCAGGACTTCCATTATACATGGGCAGTTTATGTAAACTGCAGACTTAAGACACCTCCCAAGGAAAAAAAAGTCTAATTATGTGATGAATTGATTGCCTATGGAGAACTTCATCAAAACAGTTTTGAATCTCATATGAGGTGGTGTTCCATTCTGTTGAAACTGAAATCTACTTCACTTTCCAAGTGGCATGATATTCAAGTATGGTTCCAACACATCATGCAACAACTAGTTATATCATTAGTGTGTGAATAAATTTCCCTTATGAGACAGAACTTACAGGATACTACATTTAGAGTGTCATAAATTATGAAATGCCTCATTATGTAATATTAAAATGACATATTGTATTAAAAATAAACACTGACCTTAATAAGGGAGCCATCTTCACCTACTGAACCCTTGTATGTTTTGCTGTGTTTCCCACTACTAACATTGTAGACACGGATATTGCGATCCTGACAAGCAGTCAAGATGTGTTTCTGTCCTGAATCCACTTCCATGTCATACAATGTTGTCTTACCAGCAATGTTGTGGCCTCTTGAAAATTGGCACTGTGTTCCACCAGGAGTCTGCAAAAGTTCAAGGCGTACAACTGTGACAAACATAACAATTACTAGCCACCAAACAAGTGAAGTAAATTGAGAGCAGCACTTACAAAGCACCCTGATTGCACAATATAATCTTCTTACAATGATGAGATAGGGGATCTCAACTCTGAACTTTGTTGTTTCAGTTCTGGGTAAAATTAATATATTCACAACTTGTCTATCATCAAAATGCAATATTCCCACTCAAGTGTTAATGGCATTTACCAACCAACAAACAGTTTTATATGACATGACATGGGTCCATAAGCCTTCCTTCTTCAGTTTATAACACTTGCTGGGGATTTTCAACAACTCATGGAATCTGATCTTTTTCCTCACATCATACACTACAAGCTCACTTCCACTCTCACGTGAACCAAGCTCATGCTGCTACCTACTAGGTACAGGTGGCACAAACTGTCATCAGAATACAGGTAATTTCTGAGGGGCCCTTAATACAAACACTATATCAGAAAAGCATTACTTTTTTATTCCCCAGTTAGTATTCATTGTCAATGTTATATATTCTATGATAAAAAAGGTTTCTCCAACATAATTATTTTATTCTTACAATATCTCAGGAAGAGGCATACAAAATAGATTACATAATATACTGATGCTTACCCCTTGTAATTGTCTAAATATGATGGACTTATCAGCTCCACATGACACCATTTGCAGGTGGTCATGGGTATTCAGAAAACGGACAGCTGTTATAGAAGACGAATGATCATCAAGTGTTTGAACAAAGTTATATTCCTGCAATAAAGCAGAAAAAAATAAGTGTCATGGGAAGAAAAAAGAATAAACTTCAGAATACATCCCTTTACTACACCATCACCACATATTCATATTTCCACCAGTCTGGGTCAGCTTATGATACAAATTGTTCTCCACTTTTCTCTAAGCCTCCCACAATTGATCCTCTTGTATCTGTGTCCAGTATTGTCCTTATCTCTTCTGTATATATCCCCTTACTTTGTTTATCATGTCCCTTGTCCTAGTGCTCATTTATTCAACACAGTAATTCCCGATAGCCCTGGTTTTGGATTCATCCCTACTCGCTCGATTCCTAACATTCCACAGAAATGTCACATGTGGCTTTTAATCCACTTACATCTCTCTTAGTCCACGTGCAAGTTTCTATCTCACATACCAATAGACGCAAGTAATATGTTTTCTTTTTAATCATTCTAAAAATTGTAATTTATTCATTAAATCTTCAACAGTAAGGTAACAGTTTCCAGTTCTACATATTTTCACATTATTTCTGCTTCCATTTTCTAAGTTTTATGATGTGTATTAACAACTAAACTTCAGTTAATTCAGTACGCATTACCTCATCTACACTAAAGACATGTATGAGACGATCCCTAGAAGCAGAAGCAAGTAGACGATGTCCACTATCATGCCGACTGTACTCAAGGCAGAGTACTTCTGCATCGTGGGCTTCTATCCGACACAGCTCTTGGAGGTTATGTAACTCATGAATTCTAGAGAAGAAATTTTCAAAACATCTTATATGAAACATGGAAGAAACAAAGTAGTCAAATGTAAGACATCCACACCACCAACTAAATCTAGTACACTGCAGCACAAAATTTAATGAAGAATGACCTAAATGGAAGACTTTTAATAAATGTGCGAAACCTAAAGTTTTAACTTCAAACACAAGCTGGGAATATGAAAATCATATTTCTAGTTCTTTTGACAAAAATAAGACATTAAAAGAAGTTCAATAAGAATAAATGGTAAGAAACGAAAAAATATGGAACTTACAGTCCAAGCATTTGCATGCAGAAGCTGAAGAAAAACATAAATTTTTTTAGAAGAGTCAACTTTCCACCTGAGATTCAAATTAGTGACCTCTAAAACATAAAGCAATAGTGCTAATGCGACAGTTCGATTTTTATCACATAAACCCAAAATCTCAGGTGCATACCTAATGTTACCAGCTCTGTCCCCTGATGCAAGATGTTTGCCATCTGGGCTGATGCGTATAGATCTCACACCATTGCGACCATCATATGAACTGTCACTCTTCTCTGTAGTACTTGCACCTGACAACTCTAAGTCTTTAAGGTAAGTGAGCTCAGGATCAACATACAGCACCTTCAGCAGTTCCTGTAGTAAAATTTCAGTGTCACAGGTGAGTCACCTGTTTCAGCATGAAATACAGTAACATGCAATACAATGTTACAGAATTCAAGTTTAATAAAACAAATTGCTGGGACCTCAATTTCTTAATTGCACAATGTTCCTTAGTGTCCATAAACTTGGGAGGGAAGGGGATAAAACAAACAAACATGAACATGAAACACATGGATATGTATACAAACTGGAATTTCTTCTCAAATGTTAATTTTCATTAAATTAGCAAATAAATTACAATAAAATACAATATCATTGGAGAAAGACCAATGAATTACCATAACTGTACTGTATTTATCACAAAGCACGGGTATCTCTAGGATCTTAGAGAGATGTATTTAATCTTTACACATGGAAATGAGACTCTTGCAGACCTAAGGAAAGATGGTCTAAATGAACAAGAGATCACAACCCCATAATTTACAGTGTGCAGAAAAAGGCAAAGAGAAAGAAAAGAACGAAGAATAATAAACAGAAAAGGAGGTAATCGCCTATAACTACATGTTAAAATTCAATAATCTTAAATTCTGAATACTCACATTACTGTAGATGTTTCTTTTATACATTGTGTCATTGTCTGGTGGCAGATTAGGTTCCAGGTTCCACACCCTAATTGTATCATCGCTTGAGCAGGTGATAAACGAACCTGGAGGCATTGCTGGTGACATGCCACTACCTTCATGCTCTAAAGGAGGAAACATCTCAACACCCCATATACACGCAGAGTGAAACAGGAATGAGTGAGATTTGCCGACCTGCAAAAATTTAATCAATATGATTAAATTCAAAGAACCTAATTAGTTGAATTTAATCATTATGTGTCATATTAATGCTCTGATATCCACAGGACTGTCTGAAGGGAAAATCCGTTTTTCACATACAGCAATTACAGTTTTGATAAATATAAAATTTGCCCAAACACACTTCCTGCAACTTGTCTCTACTTCTACTGCACAATCCCGAATTCAGAAATTCACAGACTTTCTAAGTATTATGCTATCTGCATTTTTTCTATGTTGTCATAGCCACAAGTAGGCTTACATGAAAGATAAACTGTTTCATTTATTTCACAACCAGAAAATCAAATTACTGTACATTTTGAATTGGTTTCACTGAAGAGTCGAAGACAGAAACATATCATAACGAGGGTACCAGGTGGCTTGGCAGCATTCACCATCTTAAATTCAAGACTAACCACAGAACAGTATGAAATTAACTTTTTATTTATAGTACAAAGAAATGGTCAAATATGTCACTCACACGTTTGATATCTCGAACATCCCACACATACAAGCTGTGATCATTATATATACATGACAGCTTCAGATTATGTTGATCAAATGCCAGAGCCACAGCATCAGGGTATTTGGCATTATTTGGATGTGTAGCCATGTGACTGAAATTAAACATAGATTTCAATGACATTTAGCATGTGCATGTTTCAAAACTAAACTTATCAACTGTGGTATTCTTTGTACTAATGCCATGTAGGCTTGTAGCTGTTAACCAATGTTTCTGGGATACTGGGAACGACCTGTTCTTCAAGTGCCTGAGCACTGCGGGTCCCAACTTTTCGTTGGCTCGATCTATAAACATTTGGTAGGACTCCTTGGACGAAGGATCGGCCCGTTGCAAGGCCTCTACCTGTACACAGGACAGCACAACACAGAAAAATGCGGACAAACATCCATGGCTTGAGTGGGATTCGAACCCACGGTCCCAGTGACCAAGCAGCACAAGGCCCACGCCTCAGACCGCGTGGCCACTGCGGACCCCTTACCAATGTTTCAGATGAATGTATTTACTCCATCTTAAGGGTTAAATTCACCTTCAAGGTTGAAGATGGAGGCAGTATGTTCCTCTGAAAGAGTGATGTCACTACAGTGCCCACATGGTGTTACAGCCTGGAAGACCAACAGTGATATTATTCTCTTGGTTCCTCCAGTTGAGTTTTTACCAATCTTCTTGGCTCATGCGAATTTATGATATCACTGTAGTTCTTTTTACATTCCCACACATAATGAGGACTGCATGAATATCTCATGAACCATGAAGGATGCATTATGATTTATGTAAGACAAACCAACAATACTTATCCTTACAGCATAGATTAAGATATTAAAAATATATACAGTATCCCATGAAGAGTGTGCCAAACTCAAAATCAGCCAGTGAATGACTGCCCGTTTGACAGACATTTCACGAGACAACCTGAATTTGCAAAAACTTGACCCTGAGGGGGAGAAAAGGGGGGGGGGTCAAGATACAAGGTGAATCTGATGAATTTCCAGCTGCAGCTGACAAATTTTAAGTTCAAAAGCACAGTGAAAGAAGATTTATTACTCAAATACTACGGACCTAATGGAGAGTCCTTGAGCCACATCCACACCGAGGTAGTGTGTCCTGGGCAATGTGGTAACAAACTGGAGGGTTGCAGGACTAAAACATCTAACAATTCCCTCAGCACAGCCAATGAAGATGAAGTTCTCTCCGACAGCCATACAATTAGCACTTGTTGTCTGAAACAAAACATTATAAATTTAAAGTGAACATACAGTAATTAAATACTACAAAAGAAAAATTTTGTGAGTAATGCAAATCACGGCGAAGATACAAATTATTTCTCTGCTGTAACTAACACAACATAACAAAGGAAATCTAAATGCATATTATATAAAGAGTGCTTAAATTAAATGAACTCATAACATTAGAATACAGATAATGTGAATGTTGCACCAGAGGGCTAAGATTGCCTGTAGGAAGGGCTCCAGAAATACACTCACTCACCATGCACAAGATAATGGAAACAGTAGGCAAGAAAATTTTTAGCTTTCCAGTTTAACAAATAATAGCATACAGCTTCCAGTAAAATACCTAACAGAACTGAATGTATGTGAATATAACCCAAAATCCATTTTTCAACAGATTTGGAGATAAAGCAATTCATTACATCTCAGTACTTATTTTTTTTGTTTCATTGGTAGGGATATACGAGGTGCGATCGAAAGGTTTCAAGACCGCGCGTATAAAAACCCGTACACTTATTTCAGGTATTAAATTCATCCATCACCCTCGAAGTAGTTCCCCTGGGAGTGAACACAACGATCCCAGCGCCGCTGCCAAGCCTGGAAGCATCCCTG